TGTTCTAATAGTTACATTTAATGCAATATACCTAGTAGAAGTACTAATTTGCTTGAATAGTACTTTGATAAAAAAAGGCATCGGGGACAAGCTGAAAAGGAAAAGTCTTTTACAGGAGACCTAGACTAACTCTTGTGAAACAAAAGGAGTCTTTTCAGACTTTTACAAGAACTTCCAAAATTCTTTAGTTTCTTATTACAGCCAAGCTGAAAGTGTAACAACCCATCTCCTCAAGCTGTGCATACATTATACTTACAGTGAAAATTGCCTGTTTCTCCTCAACTTTTCCTCTGCACACATGCAATGGACTGTTTTGCAGCAAATTAGGTTGGTCTGTGAGACAAGTGTTTTTTGAGGCCAGCATTGCAAGGTACTTCTATCTCTGTTCATTTCTATGACATGACATGTGGCAGCAATTTCTGTTTTTTTATATGCAGATCTGCTGGCTACCATCCAAGTCCTGCTAAAAAGGGACCAAAAATGAAGGTTGCTGTTCTCCAGCTGTTTCTGCCCCTTGCATGACAAAACAGGAACGTAACTGGATGATCCTGTGTCAGGAATACTAAAAGAATTAAGCAATACAGAGAATAAAAACCACTCACACATACACAAATCCCTCTGTATACCACTAAAAATGTTGCGAGTATTAAAGCAAGTTAGTACTCTAAAAATAGTTGCTGAAAAGCACAGTGGGGACAATTCAGGCTGGGATTCTTTGCAGTACTCATCCTCTTCACTCTTCCCCTCTCCCTACCTAGCTGTTCACGATGAATTGTGAACAATGATTCAGTCAATGGGATTGTTTCATTTGTGCCCCTCACTAGACTCAGGGAAAATAATCTAGGAATCAATTTCCCATCAAAACATGTGGCTTTGGGAATCTGTCGCCTCAGCTGAAATCCAGCTCAAGTACTTTCTCCAAATATTCAGAGCCCTCTCACAGGGCTATCATTACCTATTTGTTCCTCCAGTATCTGCTAAGGTAGAAGATTCCAGAGCATATGAGAGAAGGGACTTTCAGAGGCACCACATGGACCCTATCATTTACCTCCCACAAAGAAATAAAATGGTCAGACTTCATCACACTGGGAGATTGCTTGCCTATGGGAAGTTCACATGAACGTGCCTTGACACTGCAGACCAACTTACTAGCAAGAATAAAAGCTAGCTACACAAGCTCTTTCCTCAGCCTGGGTGAGACATGGAAAGAAAGACTGTTAGTTCTAAATAGAAGGACATCACTGAACAATTTCAGCCAACGCAGTATTTCAACATGTACCTGTGACTTAACATGCTCTGTAAATCGTCCAAGCGTAGTGAAGCACGGCAGGAACTAGAGAAAAACTCTAGTACTTTAACCTCCTAACCTTGCACCAAAAAAAAAAAATCAAATTGTAGCATGCAACAAACAAATCTATTCAGCACCACTATTCTGCTTTTATTTTAGAGAGAATAATGAGAACTGAACTAATATTGGGCTAGATACAACAGTTTGCAGCATTACTGAATCACACCTGAAAAAATAACTGGTTGTTACGTGTACTGTAGGGTACTAGACCTGAATCCTAAACAAGTTAGAATCCACTCACTAAAGACAACAAGAATTTAAAAAGCAGCAGGATACAAGAAATCAAAAGCAGCATACAACTATAGTGTCACATGTTTTCAATTCAGGTATCAGATACCTAGAAATTCAAACGCAATGCTCCTAACCTCAGTTCAAACACTACAAAACACAAATTCGAGCAGTGTTTGGTGTGTCCCAAATCCCTAATCATGACACCGTGGATTATATAGTGGAGAATAAAAAAGAAAAACTATTTTTGCTTGAAAGTAATTAATTTTGTTATAGAGTTTTTTACTATAACTACTTTCTTGCAATATATCTAATGAGACCCATATGTAGAAACGTAACAGTCCAGTGTGAAAACACTAGCAGTTTTGATAGCTGAGTAGAGGTATTCAATATTTATGCCATTTTTATTGTCACGTTGCATAGCAATATACAAGTCCCAGTTGAATTTCTACTGGAACCATTTCTGCTTTCCAGAAAATATTAGCAGAAGTGCACTGATTGTACTACCTACAGATTCTGCAATCTATTGCTGGCCATAAGACTCAGTCACTCAAAATGAATCCTTTTATATTTTATATTTTTCAATATAAACTGCACTAAACAAATGCATTCAATGTAAGAACCTGACCTGGGTACACAAAGATTACAGAGAAGCAAGAGAAAAAACATGTTTTGTGCACATTCCTGACAAAATTACCAGTGAAAGTTAACTGCGTTACGTAAGTCCAAACAGATATTCACACGGTACATTATTCAGCAGAAAGATGGACTGAAAGCCATTCATCTCTCTCAAAACAATTAAACATCGAAAAAAATGTTATGTTAAAGGACTAGGTTTCATAATGTTAGATTCTGCAACAACTCAATTGTAAATGCTGGATCTGTGGAAACCCACAGGCACCAGACAGAGAATTCCAGCTTCTCCATTGTACACCTCAGGGCGTCCCAGACTGAGCCAGAAGACACCAGATAAACCAAGCAAGAACCAGGAAATTATCCTGCAGCAGTGCCCAGGCAATACAGGCACAAGCATCAAGCACTGGGTGACTCAAGAAAACATTACGCCTTCATCATGGTAGAACATGCAGCCGTGCTGGAAGCAGCTCCATTATCCCACATGCAATCCTCAACACTTATAAAACTCTTGCAAAAATTCACTACTGGTGTATTTGCCACTGTTGCTATGTAGCACTGAAACTATATACTTCTACCTTTTCACTACCAGAGCAAAAGCAAAGGGGCCTCAAGAGAGTCTGCTTTATTCTAGACCATTTTGCATGCAGATGTATCACTTGGAACATTCTTCCTGGACTTATTCACAGACATCTACTAGTCTGAATATCACTTTGTAAGGGTTTAACTCATTAATTCCCCCATACCAGACAAAATACAACAGGGGAGGGAAATAATCTATGAGCTGAGATCAGATTCCACTGCTGTAGCAGTGCTTTCTCTACAGAACACCACAGTGTGAGATTTACTACTTTCTATAGAGCATCTATGATGATATTGATATTAAAACTACAAACAAATTGGATGTTGACGCACCAGAGTAAGACACAGCTTAGGCTCACTTTTACCAGCCTTTCACCAGCAACCGATACATAATGAAAGACTTAAAAGTGCAAAGCCCATGAGGTGGGAAGTGTGAGCATGAAATGCAAAAACAGTGTTCACAAAACTGGCAGAATATTGCTTCTCCAAACCTCCACTACTGATACTCTACTAAATTTTCTGAAAAATTACTTACATTTCTGGGAATATTACCAAGAAGCTTTAGCTAATAACCAGCACTGATGCTGTGTATATACAGAACCTTGAGCTGTTTGGTAAAGCAACTTGTTCTTCAGATTATTTGTGCTTCAGGAGACTGGTCAAGCTCTGTGTAGGCTGTAAAACTTTTCCTTGTTTTTTTTCCCCTTTATTCTTTACCCTTTTAATTTCCTTTTCAATGTAAGTGCAGACTGTACATAGTATCTGAAACACTATTACATCACAGCATTATAGAGAAAGATTACACTCATTCTAACAAATACTTTTTTTTCTTAAATACTGTAAAAATCTGTGTCACTAGCAATTATCTCACAGAGCCACTCAATGAAAGACAAGATGAGGCCTGCTTGTTGCGACAACTGCTTTCAGCTCAGCAGTTTACAGTAAAAAAACCCCACCAAAACATTTCAACAGATGTTTCAGTGTGCCTCAAAAGATGTTATCTTGAATTCTAGAATTATTTTCTTGTATGTGCACATGTACTGCAGAAATTAATGAACAAAGTATTTCAAATGCAATCCTTTCAAGTCCATTTAAATAAACGATACTCAATGTCAAAAATTAAACATGCTGTCAACAATTTGTACAAAGGTAGAGGTGAAAAATAGAATTTGATTACAAAAAAATTTGTTAATACTATCTGTACACCACAGGTAACACTTTTCGTAAGAGAAATTTATCACCATCCTCATTCAGTCATTCTGAGATTTATCTCTTAGTTCATAAAGCATGCATTTTCTGTGTACTTATATGCAGTAATTAGTGTTTTTATAGTACTTCCTACTTTAGTGTGAACAATGAAGATTTATACAGTGACTCAACCGAGATCAGTGAGGGAGAAGTTTATGCATCTTGTTTTAATGAAAAGATATTTTACTTGTCTAGCTCCAAAAGAGCAAAGCATCAACTTAGACTCTTTTGAACATAAATTCAGGCATTTTAATGCGTATCTCAGTCAGGCTACATGAGTTTCCATGTAGATTATTCATATTATTATGGCACTTGGACTCTCCTAACAGGTATTTAGTTACCTAGGACATCTAGGCTAAAAAATAAAAGGTCTGCTAAAATTAACCACTTCTGTAAGAGAACACTTCTGTCTCAACCTTCAAAACCCTTAATTTTCCTGGGAGTTGCACCAAAATACAATTATTTGTATTTCACATTATTTGAATAAGTTGCCTTAATGTCATGTTAACTTCTAAGTTTCGATCTGTAGTGATCTGGGAACACAAAGGAAGGCAAATCTTACCCACTTCCAACAAACCAAGTTGTGTCCTGCTCCTTAGTACTTACAACATGGAGTATTGATACTTGTGTATCCATTCTTTTGTTGGACTACAGTCTCTGAAGTAATGACACATAGTAAGAAAGAAGTCCAAATTTAATTAAAGGCAGCTTACAGTGGTAGCTTTTTCCTCTATGTAAGGCATTATTCTGACACCTACTGGCCTGGTATCCAACCATACGTTTTAATACACTGCATTTGTTATTAAAAAGGAGCATATATATTAATCCAAAGATAAGAACAGTTAAAGGAACACAAATGACATACATTTAAAACAGGCCCATGTATTTTCATATAAATCTCACCACCCTACCAGTATTTTGGTAGGTTTCTATTGCTTTCTTAACTCATCCGAACTACTGCATACTATGAGGCTTTAATACAAGCAGCTCTGGGGGAAAAAAGTTACATTTGGAAGGGAAAAGAAAGTTGTGACAAGTAGAAAAAAAAATCCAAGAAGCTTTTTTAAAAAAAAACCAAAACAACTTTACTTGCAAAATTAAGCAGCATGCTATTTTGTGATTTATATTTGAATTTAAAAAGACTAATTAGACCGAAATAAAAATAAAAACCTAAAAATGGCAATTCTATAAATAATGAAAATTTTGATTTCACTAGACTTTAATGAAAAATATTCGGTAATTAAATACTTGCTACTGTTTGTTATGTTGATGAACTTTATTAGGGCTAAAACTATAACAAAGTTCATCCTAAAACATTTTGCAATGCAAAATTATTTTCACTCGAGGAGTGTCTCAGATTGAATGCTAAGAATTACAAGCAATCTTCAGAAGCTGACACTCACATTCATAAAACTTTATACATCTTTTGGAACTAAGATATTTATACTACTAAAATCAAACATGCATCACTTCCCATACATTCTGGTATCATGATTTATATTACATTATGTAACACCATTCTTCTGAACAGCAGCAGTTTTATCATACGTTTGCTCCATTTTCTTTGGACTTCTGATCTTTATCTTCATTCTTCACAATATCCTTTAAAAGAAAAAAGGGAGAGGATAACATGAATTCTAGAAGTGATATTTCTCCTGTGAACTGTAAAGCAGCATGAGACAGACAGGATTTAAAGTTGACAACAAACAGTATGTGAACTGATAGTTTACTTATAACCAATTCGTATTTCCAATACCTTCCTGAAAAAATGAGGCAGCAGAAATTAAATGTGACCTAAGCACCTTTGAACAGAAGCACAAAAAACATCCCCAGAAGCCTCACTTTAGAAGTCTGGTGGTTGTTGAGCTTGCTTTGTTTTTTTCCTGTTGGTTGTGTTTGGTGGGGTTGTTTTGTTTGGTTGGGTTTTCGTGTGTGTTTTCTTTTTTGTTTTGTTTTTGGGGGGTTTTTTTTGTTCCTTTTTTGTATTCTTTTTTTGTTTGTGTGTTTTCGGGTTTTTTGGAGGGTTTTGTGATTTTTGTTTTGTTTATGTTTGTTTTGTTTTTTTTTTTAAGAGCAAGTGAAAACAGTTTTTGCAAAATCTGTTAAATTAAGATAATAATTTACCACAATAGTTATAACATGAAATACTTGTATTGGCCAAAGAATCCATCTGAAAACACTAGGCTTAAAAGACATTTTCGTCTAAAAAAATACCAGACAGAACAAGCAAGGCTATTTAACTGAGCTAAAAGCATGGCAAAAGTGGGTTATGCAGTGCCTTCTGCTGCCGGTTCTGATGGAGCAGCAGGTCTACAACAGGTAGTGAAGCACAGAACTGCATAACTATAGTGATGAGATGGCTGCAAGGTACTGCCAGTTTAATAAGCTACAGTGACTTATATGATGCATCACTTCTATCCTACAAGGAAGGGAAAAAAATTATAACATTTGTCAAGTTTTCTGTTTGGTTTTTTTTATGCGTATGTGGTTTTGTTTTGGTTTTAGAACTTTTGTAGATGCTATATTGTCTTTTCAAAATAAATGTAGATAGAAGTAGAAGTAAGGGTCCCTCATAGCACCAGTTTGCCACCCAGCAGCCTTCACAACCTACTTCTATTCAGCCTTACTTAATGGGCCCCCACAACATTCCTAGGCAATACGCAAGTATCTTTCCGTACAGGGATAGACGTGCTCTGGAGTACTATGTGGTTCACTTAAAACTTACTTTACTGAAATACCCCCCCATAAATTGAAATACTGAAGTTCTGCCTTGAAAAATTACTCCTAACTGATCAAATGGAAAAGCAGATTTGGACTGCTGGGGATGGAAAGGATCAGGACAGGAAAATATTATGATCGTTTAAGATCTACATGAATTTTCACTTGTTTTTAAAAACATTTAACTCAAGAACATGTGTTTTAAGCTTAGAAAAATATATTGTATTTATTATCTTAATCAGTATCACACTTAGCATCTTATGTATATATATATTAAGAAACTACTGCCCTGAATTCATGTGAAAATTCTTTTTTATTCTGAAGTTTTTGTTCTAATAATTTGGTCTATAGGAAACTTGCATACAATAATCAAAAATGGTATGAAAAAATTCTAACCTGTTTAAGAACACTCTGTATTTCATCCATAACAGTAGCTAAATTTTTTATTGTCTTATTCAGCTGACTCTCAAACTTCAAATTTTTATCATCCGAGATCTTCAAATTTTCTTGCAGTTGGCCAAGGTCCTTCTTCACCTCTTTGAGCTCCGTAGATAGGCTTTTGTTAGAATTCTCCAGTTGTAGTATGGTCTTTTCATCTTCATCTTGGAAAGAATAAAAAGCCAGTCGTTTCCAATGCTATGTACTTTGCATCTTAATATTCCATTTACATGCCACCATTATAACTATTAATTTTTGAAGAACATTAAAAACTACCATTTGATAATACTCAATTCTGACTACATTTGAAAGTCTTACATTCAACTTCAATAAAAAAGATAAAAGCATTTCCACAAGGTGACAATGGTACTCAACAATAGTTGGTGGGCAAATTCAAAGGGCTTTGGAAGTAGAAAGCAGAAGTTTATGGTAAGCAAACAGCTAAGAAATTTAGTTGACAAATATTACTCAAATTGGTTTACCCACTTAAAAAGCCTTAGCATCTTGCATCCATGTAAGTACCACCTTTAAAGTAATGCCCCACCTGTTTTTTCTTCTAGTAACTGCAGCTTTTGTTCTATCTCTGCCCGCACTCTTTCACTCTTCTCCAGCTTCTGTAAAAGGCTCCCAACATCCACCATAGCTCCATTGTATACAATGAGGCCGACGTTTTCTTCTATGGCTTTTGATTCTTGCTTTATGGTAGGTGATGGTAACAGTAATCTGTTTCCTGTATTAGATTAAGCAGCATTAGGAAATAATAATTCTGTCCTTTTTCAGTTCTAGTGACCAACCTCAAAAACTTTTTAAAAGAACTAATTCCTAAAAGAATACATATAGATTGAAGTTTGCTGGTCTACCTCTCACTTCTCCCTCTAATCCTCCCCCTCTCAAAAAGGAGCATGCTCTTTAATGACGTTCTTCTATGTCTCCTTTCTGCAGTAATTTGTCTTCAAAACTCGGGCTCTGTTCTACTACCTACAGCACTGATTCTCCTGACTGCAAAACTGCTGTGAATGAGAAATGCTGTTCATCAATATTCAACATAAACCTCTGGCCTCCTTTCTGTTCCAAGATATTAAGATTTATCCTACAGATGCAACAAGATGTTTTGGAAGACAGAAATACTGTAATTTATGAACTGCCCAAGATTTACTTTTCCAAACTGGCAAGTTCCCTGCAGACCCAAATTAGTTTCTGCAAGAAAGCAAGCACCTCAGAACTCTCGTTGTTTGCATACAAACAATTCTCTGGAAGTTTGTGCCATAAAAAAAAAAAATACCACCTAGCATATCTTCCTGTAGCTCTTCAGACTCCTCTTGATTTTCTTCATCTTTAGAAGTATCTGTTAGTCTTCTGTAAAAGCAAGATTCTCGAAGCACTACTTTATTAAGTAGCTTCTTGACCTACAACACAGCCATAAAGAAGTATGGTGTTACTCAATACACAGACATTGTATTACCTGAACAAGAACGTTCTAACTTGGAAAACTTAAAGGAATTGCACAGCTTTTTGAACTTTAACATATTGGAGCTTAAAATGAAAATAAGCTAGGGAAAAAAGATAAGTTTTGAGCCCAAAGCTACATACACAATATGGGCATATTAAGAGCTGCAAACGTCACCTTTTCATTCAGTTTTGTAAATTTCACAATTTACAGAAGATTAAACTAGTATTTAACTGTAAAGTGGCTACATAAAAATCAGGGATAAAGTATGTAAGCAACAGCTTTTAGAAGCTAGGCTGTATCTCTCCCACTTACAGCATTCCCATAATATTTTCAAAGAGATTTCTAGTACTATACAAAACCTGAGCACGTGACAGGTGTAGTCCAAGAGTGTACAGTATCTCCTCCATGTCCTTCTCCAGAAGATATCCACAATGACTTTGATCAAAATAAACAAAAGCCATCAGAAGATCCCTATTAACAGTCACCATCTGTGTCTTGTCTTTCTCCTACGGAAAATTCATTATGGGATCATTACGAAGTTAAAATATCATTTCCCCTATCATCTACTAGAAACAAGTGAACTTTTCAGTTAACAAGTTTTCTTCTGTCATTTTATTGTTACTTTCAGTCAAGTGATTAATATAACTAGCATTTACCTGCTGAGCTCAAATATAATATAAGCAAGCTATTTAGGACAAGTAATCTTTGAAATATAAAAGAGCACAATGGACACCAAGATCTGGTAGACACACTTTCCTTTTGTTCATCCTAATACGTCAAAATTTGAAGAATTAACCTAATTAAGCAAGTAATAGTAAACATCCTGTCTTCTCCCAATCACATATTTTACTGAACAGCTATTTTGAAAGTGAAATCCTCTAAACATGTAACGAATGAGCATCCAGCTCTCACAGCTACAGCAGTTCTGCAGTCTGTGTTTTCCCATTGTTCCTATTCCTACATCTCTTATCTTTCCTTGAAGACAAAAAAAAAAGAGAATCAGAAACTTATTTTATTATTTCATTTATAAAGAAAATTTAAGCGTAACAAATCAAACTTAGGCTGTTCCTTAACCTGATCTGTGGAGGCAAACTATTCGCCTCACGACACAAAAAGCATCCATTTTCCTGCAGGGAAATGTGAAAACGCCACACAGTGATTCCAAGCTTCACAACTGAAAAGCCAGTTTATCAATCAAGCTAAGCTTCTACTTTTCTCACGTAATACAGCAGTTGAAAATAATGGATAAAATAATCACATCCACTGCCTCTTATGTGCACATATAGCATCAGTCTTCACATCTTTCAGACAGATCAGTATCTCACATAAGAAAGGTTTTCCAACAGCTTTCAATCAATGAACTTTAAAATGTGAAGGTAGGTTGTAAGCACCTTACCTAAAGCTGTCACATGTTCCCTAACTTCTATATACACTTAATGTTTCAGTCCAGAAGCAATCCAGGAGTGCAAACAGGTCTTATAATAAAAACAAAGTTAAGCTCTAATAAGGACACCTCTAACAAAGTTAAATGTAGTTGTTAAGAAAGGCATTAATTACTTTATCTTTAGATGACCTCTCTTTACAATGCCTATTTCCCTCTCTCCTGTCCTCTCGTTTGTTCATTTCCTCTTCATCCCGGTCTGTAAAACAGAAAGAAAATTCAACATACCTACACCAAGCAATTGTATAACCGTTATCTCAAAATACACATGTTCATTAAAAAAAGTTCACATAAACCCCCAAATATCTGAAATTAATATATTTTTCTGGAAAAATAAAAAACCCACAAATAGTATTTAAGTCCTGTTAAATCTGGATTTTTCTTTGGTCTTATTTTAACATAAGCCTTTTGTAATTTTTATCCACATATTTTTTTCATGCACATAGGATAGAAGAGCCGAAATAAGTGCTAACTATGCCAAAAATGAGTTCTACCAACATCACCATCTACTTAAGCAGTGTGCAGGAAATTACCACAATTCTCCCTAATGAGGCTTGGCAGAGTCTGCATTCAGCTATGGTTATTCCTATTAGGACAAAATCAGTACTGTTTACTCTCAAATATTTTATATCATAAAAACCATTAAACTATGTAATTAAAAGCACACGTTTAAACTCACGTCGGAGTGAGATATTACTGATTCTACGATGTAGATTCTCAAACTTACAGATCACATCGCTTATTAGATGTGAATTACAAACTGCAGTTTTTTGTTTAAAGGTAGATAGTACAGTGAAACTACATCTAAAATCAAGAGGAAGAGGAATATGACAACTGCAGGGACGGATTACGGTATGCAGCTCTGTACCTTATGTGCAAAGAATCAAGTGCCAAGTTCGGCATTAAGCTCACCTTTCTTGTGAGGAAAACTTTGGAAAAAACTATGTTATCACAACATTTGTCTAATTTTGCCAACACACTTCTGAGAACCAAGAGCTTTCTCCTGCACCTCCACAGCATGTTGGGATTGTTCTCAGCAACCCTGATTGGGAGTGGCACAAGGACAGGTTATGGGAAGCAGCAGCACTTGCATGGAACAGACAAGCCCAGGGCACTCTCACAGCCAGATTATAAGCAAATACTAGTTATTTTGGCAATCACAAACTAGCACCAATTTTTTAAGGCTAGTGCAGCACTCTGCCAAAAATACAACTGAAAATGCTGGTTAGAAAATGCAGGGACTGCAGTATCTAAGCAGTTCAAACCCACATCTCTAGCAAAAACTCTCCAGATAACGACAAAAACCCCAAAGAGGTATAAAACCAAACAGGACACACCATGTCTTACAGCCTTCTGAACCTCTGAGCAGGAAAAGAGGGCTACTGCTAGTCCCTGGAGTCAGGAAAGTTCCCCTGTCCCCTTCCCTATTTCTTCAGGCAAACAGAACTCCACCCAAACAGAAATCAACTCCTCATAACATCACGTAAAGAGCACCCCACACTATACTCTGGCCTAATAAAAACAGGGTGACATTTCAGAACTGAGGAATAGGATGTCAGGCACTTGAAAGTGGCTTCGTTTTTCAGAGGTGCTGAATACTCACATCTCCTACTGACTTCAATGGGAGTTGCGAGTGGTCTGCCTTCTGAAAAAAATAAAACCACTTCTATACGCATGCCTTGCTTTCAGTACCACAGCTAGTTCATATTAACTACGTTCATACAATACCTAGCATAAAGGCACTTACATTTTAAGTAGATCTGGTCAGAATTACTAAAATAAAATTAGTTTAATAATGCAATTTTAAATTGTATAGTGCCAGTGCATTCTTCAGCTTGAAAGAACATATCCAGTGGCAACAAAATTTTTGAAAGCCACAAAATCCATAATTCAAGATACCTTCATCTTCGTCTTCAGCATCTTCTGCCTCCATCGGATCATATTCTTCTTGGTTATTGTCATCTTCAGTTTCTTCTTCATCTTTAGAATCATCTTTCCTTTTATCTTCCCTCTGTAACAAAAGTTCCTAAGAATTTATCCAATCACAGCAGGCAAGTACTAATCTCACTACCATTCATTCAAAACTTGTGTATGTTTCCATTTAGTCACTTAAAAAAACAAATACAAATCTATGTGATATAGCTGAATGTTGAAATACCCCTAATACACCTGTATAATCTTTAAATTACTATGATTGAAACATATTTAAAAAGATCAACAAGTCAAATCAACTAACACTGCAAGACCTGAGTTTTTGAAAGCAATAAAGTAAAATTCAAATAGAAATAGCTTATTATTGATCCAGACACGATATTCCTTCCTATGAGCTATCTGCAGACCTTCTTTTCGTCTCTGTCTTCTTTTTTGTCTTTATCATCTCCAGATTTTCTCCTCTTAGGTTTTGGATCATCTGTTTCATCATCTTTTTCTTCTTTTTTTTCTTTTCTCTCATCCTTTTTGCTTTTTTTGTCTTTTTTGTCCTCCCTCTCTGGGAGTGAAATCAGTGCTTTGTAAATTCTGACACCAAAATCTCTCTGAAGCATTTCATTGAAGAGTTCTGCAAACAATGATACCTGCATATAAAGAAGAAAGGTGAACTGACAAAAAAATTTTAAAATATACATTAAAATTTTGTACACTTACGATTACACAGCTGTGAGGTGCTATCTTACCAACTTTTACCATGTCAGAATTCTATGTAGTGTCAGATTTCTTACTATCTACTTTGAATATAGAAACCTTAAACAACTTTATAAAAATGTTCCTTTCCTGTACTGCAATAGTGTAGGACCTAGACTAGCTGTATAAAGTCAGTTCCATATCTGAAAACCTGCCCATTTCTTCTGGATATCATACAGCGACTATACTGCTATTGCAAACCATGTACAAAAGACTGGACATTTTCTCCTAGGTATTGCACAAAGAAACTAACTTAAGTTTTATGCTGCCATGCTATCATGAACTTTTAGAATTTAAGAATACTCCATTTATCACACAAATTAAAAGAAACAAGAATCGCTATCTATAAGTTAACATAGCTAAATTACCTCAAAGGAATGTTCTTTATTATCTTCTAATCTATAGTCCAGAAGAACACTAAGAGACATAATGCTACAGTCAAACTTCCCACTCTTTGCTGCCCAGTTAGGATGTACAATGATTGCTGGTTCATCAGGCAAGATATATCGTCTCTCCCGTCGCTGACGTTCCATTTCTTCTTGACGTTTTCTTTCCTCTTCCTAGAGAGGCAAAAAAATAACATACAGCATATTCCAAAGCTGAAGTTTTAGCCTATTTATCAGTTTTTAGGACTCACTGCTTTGAAGAAAGTGAAGGAAAACCTAAGCTGCTGAATGCAATGCAGAAGACAGAAGTCACAGACCAGGATTTCCAGAATGCATACTATGTCCACTACCAACATGTGCCTAAAACAACTGGAAACTTGAGCAACACAAAGCAGGACACGCAGTGTTGTTTAGCCCACAGAGCAACAAGCGCCTTCCAACTGTCTTGCGGTGCTAACAGCAGCACGCTTACTTGACACTGGAAGCTAGTCCTCTTCAAGAAATGGCACGCAAAGGAGTCAATGCTCCTGAGGATCTTTCATTTGTTTAGGGGTGTTTTCAGAGCTGTAAGTAAACTGTCTTGTTCCTTACACAGGAAGAGTAAAGGCTTCATACATCATTTTCCCAAGGATATCCAACACAGCTTTAACAACTACCAGATGACAATTTACTCAGCTCTTTTGATTATGGGAATTGCAATCTCTACAGATACAACTGATGCAAATCAAACAAAGGGTTAAGAAAGGTAAAATACCAAGCAATTTACTGATTGGCAATAGAGAAATATTAAAGTCTTATAAGTACGCAAAAAAAGTCATGGCAGAGCTTTTGCTTTTAAAAAAGCAAGCACAATCAAAGCTCCCTCCCCTAACCTTAAAGAAATCTGTGGCAAGAAACTCCAAGATAGCTGAAGCTCATCCAAGCTGTGGGAGAAGACAGCAGCTGACAGAATTAGCAAGCACATGGCCTATGCTCCCTCAGCAAGGATTACACAGATGTACAAAATTTCAGATCATCCCATATTGGTTAGCAGGTAAGAATACATAAAAAGGGAGGTCTAAAAGCAACTAACACACAATACGTTCTCTGTACATTCATGCCCATTTTCTGTGGCTGAGCTTTGGCCTTGTTGCACAGATCTTGTTTATCCTTGTGAAATAGCAAAGCAGATTAAGTAGTACTGAAACTACCAACTGCAAAACAGATACTTCAATACACCAGATGTTTATCCAAAAGCAAAACCAAAAGCTTCGTAACAAGGGAAAACAAAACTCAAGCAAACCATTAGCCATGTGAAGAAACTGGACTGTTTGAGGCACTATAACCTTTTACAGACTGGTTCCAGACTGCCCTTCTCCCATCTCCCCAATAATTCCCTAAGGCTTGTATGACACTAAAAGCCAGTACAACTAAGCAGCTGCTTTTCAGATAGGTTTAAGAAGTTAAGATCTTGTTAAGTGTGTTCACCTGTTCTTGAGCAGAGATTTTCCTTGGGAGTTTGGGATTTATTTTTCCTTACATCTGAGGTCTGACATTAATTCAGATACCCTTCGTGCAGTTGCACATTTCAGCTGCTTTTGCCGATATGAAGAAATTCAAACTTGCCAAGATTTCGTTCCAATTCAGCAGCTCAGGTTACAGCAAGAGTTCCCAGTATGGTCACCCGAGAACTACAAAAACCCAACACAACTAGGCATATGCCTGTACTTTGTATGCTTTTATATAAATACAATTTTTATACATATTTATGTATATTTAATAAGACTTAAACCAAATATGTCCAAAACCTAACCTCTTTGTCATCTTCAGATTTCCTATCCTCCTCCTCTTCCTCTTCCTTCTCAGACTTCTCTAGCTCCTTTTGCTCTTCTTTTTGTTCCTCTACTTTCAGCTGCTTTGTCAGTCGAGCTATCAACTGAGATTTCAGTCCTTTAGAGCTAAGGGTTCGACTCTCTAATTCTTTGCGAAGATCATTTACCTGGTAAATAAAAGCTCTGTAAGTGGTATCAACCAGTGACATCGCAAAACATGTGATTAGCAGAAATGGTGAAGTAAAAATTAAGTAAGAGTACTGAAAAGTCAATTGTATTTTTAAAATCTGTACTGAAAAGCACTAATATTTACTGATACAAAACAAAGTTGTGTTGTCCTCAAAGAACCCCTTTTTGAGGGACTTTTCA